GAATGACTGGGGATTACAGAGAACTGAGTACCATGACACCCCTGTCCATGTTGCTACACCCAACATTACTCTTTTCATGTTCAATTGCTGTAAAGTTCATTTCATGTAGAGTGGGGATTTTATAAAGTTTTGTTTTGCCTTTGCATCTTGTTCCATTCTGAATCCACTGACAAGGTGTTTTATACTCCAGTGCATATTCTCTGTCTTACTTTCTTCTCCTGATCCTGAGATAAGACATCTTTAAAGTTTTTTTTTATTAATTACACTTTTTTCACTTTGTATCCCACCTGTAGCTCCCTCCCTCCTCCCCTCCCAATCCCTCCCTTCTTCCCTCTTCTCCACACAAATGCCCCTCCCCAAGTACACTGATAGGGGAGGTCTTCTTTTTCTTCCTTCTGATCCTAGTCTATTAGATCTCATCAGGAATGGCTGCATTGTCTTCCTCTGTGGCCTGGTAAGGCTGCTCCCCCTCTCAGGGGAAGGTGATCAAAGAGCAGGCCAATCAGTTCATGTCAGAGACAGTCCCTCTTCCCATTATATGGAACCCACTTGGACACTGAACTGCCATGGGCTACATCTATGCAGGGGTTCTAGGTTATCTCCATGCATGGTACTTGGTTGGAGTATCAGTCTCAGGAAAGACCCCTGTGCTCAGATTTTTTGGTTCTGTTGCTCTCTTTGTGGAGCTCCTGTCCTCTCCAGATCTTACTATTTCCCACTTATTTCATAAGATTCCATTCACTCTGCCCAAAGGTTGGCCATAAATCTCAGTATCTGCTTTGATAGTCTACAGGGCAGAGCCTTTCAGAGGCCCTCTGTGGCAAAACCTGACTTGTTCCTTGTTTTCTCCTTCTTTTGATGTACATCCTCTTTGCCTTTCTGGATGGGGATTGATCATTTTAGCCAGAGTCCTTCCTCTTGATTAGTTTCTTTAGGTGTACAGGTTTTAGTAGGTTTATCCTATATTATGTGTCTATATGAGTGAGTATATACCGTGTGTGTCTTTCTACTTCTGGAATAGCTCACTCAGGATGATCTTTTCACCTTATACCCATCAGAATGGCTAAGATCAAAAACTCAAATGACAACACATGCTGGAGAGGTTGTGGAGAAAGAAAATAATGAAATTTGCAGATAAATAGTGGGAACTGGAAAAGCGACAAGACAACTTGACAAAATGAACTTAGCAAAGAAAATATTTATTTTAACACATATTTCAGGTACAGTTTATTCTGTGAGGAAGTCAAGGCAGCAGGAGTGTGAGGCAGCTGGTCATACTATTCCCACAATCAAGGAACAGAGAGTGACGAATGAGGCTATTTACTTCCCTCACTCTCCTTACTCATTCCAAGATCCCAAACAGAAAATGGATAATGGGTTCATCTTCTACCTCAACTAACGTTTACATTCTCCAAGTACACATTGCTCAGCAATGTATAAACATGTCTAGCTTCTGAAAGTACATAATATGTGACAAAATAAAATGTAATTTTGCTTTTATCTCGGAGAGACACTAGTCTTTGTAAAGATTGTGTGCCAGGCTCTGAAGATAAGATACAAAAAAAGATTTCAGACAAAGTTGTTGGCTGGAACCAAGTATCTTCAAGCTCAGCTTAGATCACCTGAAATCAAGGAGACCACAAAGCTTGATTGAGAAATAAATCTACATATTTTAAATGTCACCGCAGTCTGTGATTTTTATTACACAGCCTAAGAGGCTTACATATAACTTATGTATTTTATAAAATTAAATTTGAATACATAGTTCCTAATTTGATGTCAAAATAAAGAGAGATTACAAAACATCTTTCATATAAAAGCATATGAAACTTTAAATTATTTCGTGAATAGTCTTTGTTTCTATTTTAAATAAACCACAGTTCCCTAATCATTGTTAAATTACTAAAATACAATGCCTCTTCACAATACCAGGATGCTTGGCTCAGGCAAATCTTTTTTAGCATTTTACTTCTTATGTCTTCATTATTTAGTCTATTTTCTTTTCAATCAAGGTATTTTTTAAGCAGTATAGTCATGAGAGAAAGGGAGACACACATAGTTCAAGCAAACAAATCAACTCTCAAAATATTCTAAATACACTGGTGGAAAGCTCGCAGGTGTGAAATATATCTAACAACATTAATTATTAGCGAAAATATCTGAGGCTGAAGAAATGGGTCAGTGCTTAAGAAGACGTCATTGCTCTTGCGAAGGACCTGGGTTCAGTTTGTAGCATCTGTGCCCGGCAGCCAACAATAGCCTGCAACTGCAGCTCCAGGGGATTCGATATCTTCATCTGGTCTCTTTAAGGTGTTTCTTTGGTCTCTGTGTACGGATTCTGGAATGAATAGATATTTTTTTTGTGTGTGTGTCTCCTGAGGAAAATTAATGCCAACAGGTTGATGCCCAGAGACCCAACAGAACCCAAATAAGTGTTAGAATGTCCATTCCATGGGCAATGAAACACATGTGAGGTTGAACTGAGCGTGGAGTGTCTGTGAAGAAAATCCCAAAGGGATCATATTTCCCTTTAAAGAAAGGAATAATATGATTCCTTGCCATAGTGGGATAAAAAAGGGAAATAGACATGCAGGAGACTCCCTCCATACTTGCCTCAGCTTTGACAGGGAAATTGGCTACAGAGATGGGGTCACAATGCGTAGGAGAGGAAAGTTATTTCCGGATCACTTAAAAGCTGATGTAACAAGGTTTTGGTTGAGGTTGGGTTCTAAAGGATAAACTTGACAGAAAACCAAATGTTATGCTTGTGGACCTGATGGGATTCCGAGCCTAAACAACTGCTCCTTAAAGAACAGGGAATGAATGTGGACTCCACTGCAGCTACTGCTGTGAAGGAACATTTTTTTTTCTGGGCACCATCTTAGCCATTTCTATAACAGCACAGCCAATGCTGTCTACAGATGAGGATCATGCAGGGCGTGGAGAGGCCCCAGGTTCAATGGTAGATTCATTAGTTCTTTTTTTTAATGATCAGATCACTGTTTCAGGGTGGATGCTGGGTCCTGGTGTGTCTTAGGTTCTGATGGTCCCAGGAGCATTAGGGTCAGTGGGCAGTGGTGTATAGCTATATTGATAGAATAGTACAGATGGAAAGGCCGTTGTTTCCTCCACCCCGAGTATACTGTGTTCCTTATCACAAGCAAGAAACGGTTGTCAAGAAGCACCCTGCATAACAGTTTTGGTAAATTTTGCCTGAGGGTGAAAAATGAAGCTAGATGGCTCCAGGAGAATGGCTGTGGATTACAGAGAACTAAATCCTGTGACACCTCTGTCCATGGTGCTATATCTAATATTACTCTTTTGATGTAAAATTGCTGTAAGTGGTAGGATACTTTCATGTTGAGTTGGAATTTTGTAAGATTTTGTTTTGTCTTTGTATCTTCTTCCATTCTGACTCCCAAGCCCATTTGGTACTACCTGGAAGTGGAGATCAGTGACTGAGTATTTAAAAGATTTAGAGAAACATCCCAATGAAACAGTTCACACACATCGAAGATAGAAGACAAAAAAAAAAATCAGTTCGCACAGGGTACAGGGTACAAGCATTAGAAACTCTTGGAAGTTTCATAGTTGGGTCATATTCAAATGATGCTTGACAAAATCCTACAACAACTCGCACCTATGAAAACGAAAATAACAGATAATATTTTTTAACACGGAAGAGGTGGTTCAGAGGGGCCTTGGGGTATTCAAAACACTGAGTTATAGAATGGTAATTCCAGTGAAGCAGAATTACCTCCCTTCAGATTATTGGCCACATAGGCCCCTGAGGACTCACATATTATACAGGTTATTGCGAAGGATATTGGCTACACACCAGAGTTAGAGGATAACCTCATGTTTCTGAAAGCCCCACATGCTCTAGTGGCAGGGCATATGGAAATCATGATGGGGTTTCTGAAAACCTTATTTTTTCTGGATAGCATGTGGTCTGGAAGACAACATGCAGGCCATTAGGTAAAACTGTCACCTGTTTAACTATGGAAACTTTGTGTTAATGCCATCATCATTATGCCAAGCAAGCTGTGCCCTTTTGTGTAATAGCGGAATGAGTGATATAAGTGTAACCAATTGCTTTTTAAATTTGTTTTAAGGCACTTCTTATGAAAGAATTTTTATAGAAAGTCAGCATAAATACTATGGCTGGTAAATACTAGATTCTAATGAGCTAACTATTTTTGTGGTTTGCTAATAAAATGATTTCTACAGTTTTGTTTATGGCCATAGATTACTTCCTTGGCTACAGTGATTGAAAAAAATCTTTGTAAAGTTACTAGAAGAGACTCATAACCAGTTACAGTGCTGGGAATAAGCTTCGGTTGCTGTCATTTATACTGTGGCTGTAGTAAAGTGGCACACGATTACAAATATAATCACACATCTGTATTGTCCTTTAGGAAAAACAGATGCCACCTTCTTTAGATCAGCTGTGTCTGCTTTCATGAGTCCAAGGGTCCAACACAACTGGCTTTATGGTGTTACTATTCCCTCATGGAAAGTGATGGGCTCCGAAGGGTTATTGTGCCTGTTTCAATATGTCTATGAGACAAAAAGCTCTTAGAACACATTTGCCTACACACACACACACACACACACACACACACGAAAATGTAGGTAAAAATGAATGACCTAAATATAATAAAGAAGCTAAATTTGTAATGCAACTGCCAATGCAACAAAGTCCTATTACAGTGCATTGAACGGTAAGTTTGAAAAGTAACAGCACTTCTGAACAAAGCCTTCTGGGATGTGTTTGTAATCTGATAAAATCTAATATTATAAAGACTATCTTGAACAAAAAGGATCAGATACAAAGGTAGTATTTGTGCTTTTTGTGTGCTTACTATACGTCAATGATTGCTTTTGAAAGAAAGTTGTTATTAGGACAAATAATATAATTCGCTTTAAAATGTACACGCTCACAATTCTATTCAGGTTATGAACTCTGACCTTACCTGGCAGACTCCCGTGCAGGTGTCTCAGCGGGTGGGCTTACACTTACAAAGATATCTGTGTAAAGCTGCACAGTTCTCTGCTGTGAGACCAGAAGCTGACAGCATGGCACAGTTATGTTCATCATGGGAGGAGTCTGCTATCCTGCAATGGCAGATCCACAAAATTCATATATGTGTGTGTGTGCGTATAACATGTATAAGTTATATATATATATATATATATATATATATATATATATATATATATAT